GCGAGCCCCGAAGGCGCAGCAACAGCAGGAGAAGAGCAGCGGCCGCGGCTGCGGGACCTCCCCGTGGACCTGCTGAATGCCTTGCCCGCAGCAGTTCGCCAGGCAGCTGTGGCTGGCTGCCGCGACCGGGACAGCGTGGAAGAAGGGGCAGCAGCTCCAGGAGCTGATGTTGACAATGCAACTTTTCTTGCAACTTTGGAGCCAGCTTTGCGGCAGGAAGTGCTGCTGACTGCAGACGCGCTGGTGCTGGAGGCCCTGCCGCGGGAGCTGCAGGTGGAGGCGGCTTTGCTGCGGGAGCGGGCGATGCAGCGGCAGCAGCAGCGGCAGCAGCAGCAGCAAAGGGCAGCAGCAGCAGCAGCGGCTGCTGCGGCCAACATCACCGCTGGCGCTGCGGGGGGAGCCCCCCCTGCGGGGGACCGCCCGGGGCGTGGCAGCCGGGGCACTTCGTCGGGGCCCGGGGGGGCCTCCGGCTCGGGGGGCCCCTCGCTGCCTGCTGCCTTTGTGGATGCCTCTCTGGCCCTATTTGGGGGCTTCGAAGGCCGCTGGGGGCCCCTGGGGGGCCCCCACAGCAGCACGGGGGCCCGCCTGCTGGGCATGCCCGCCTCTTCTCTGCTGCCCCGCAGCATTCGGCTGGGGCTGCGGGAGGCGCTGCTGGATGATGCTGTCTTTTCGCGGGAAGGGGAGGGGCCCCGGGGTGCTGCAGCAGGGGGCGACGCAGCAGCTTCTCTAATAGCTGCGCGGGGCATGCTGCAGTCCTCAGCTGCAGCGCGCAGCGCGGCAGCAGGCGGGCCTGCTTCCGGAGCAGCAGCAGCAGCAGCTGCTGCTCGAGGGCCGGTGTTCGCGGGAATGCCCGAGGAGCTGCTGCTGCTGCCCAGCGAGCGGCTGCTGAGGGCCCCCGCTGCTCTTTCTGCCCCTCCTGGCCTCACGGGCTTCTCAGGACTTTCGGGACTTGTTGCTTTTCCAAACAGAACTGGAGGTGGAACCCGATTTAGGGTTTCGCAGGGGGCTGGTGGTTTGGCGGGTTCTTTGGGGTCCGCTGCAGAGGCCGCGGGAGGGGCTTTCCGGCAGATTGACTTTCTCTCGCTGCTGCTGAACGGCGGTGCTGCTGCTGTTGCGACCAACGGAGCAGCAGCAGCAGCGCCCCAGGCGCTCTCTGAAGACCTCTGGGTTGGGTTCCTCACTGCAGCAGCAGGCGGAGGAGGGGGGCCCCACGGCGGCCCCTGGAGCGGCGGCGGGGGGCCCCCGGGGGGCCCCCATAGGGGCCCCGGCCGCAGCAGTGGCGGCGCCAACGGGGGCCCTCCCTTCGACTCTTCTCCCCTGAGCATTCCGGGGCTTATGGGAGTTTGCCGCGTTTTATTTTTGTCGCGAGGAGTCAACAAACGCCTTCTTTTCTTGCTGCTGGCGTCGCTTGCTGCCTCGCATGCAGAGACCCGAGATGTGCTGCTGCTGCTGCTGGTCTACATCTGCTGGGTAGCTATTCCTGAGTGCTACACCACGCTGCGGCCTTCTTACCCTGGCCGGGACACGCTGAAGCTGCTGGGCCTGCCGCCAGTGCCGGTGCTGCTGCCTCCAGAGGGGTCGCAGCAGCAGCAGCAGCAACAGCACCAGCAGCAGCAGCAGCAGGGCGGATTCCAGTGCGAACGCTTCGCCATGGGAGGCGCTGCAGCTGAACGCGTTCTTGAGCAGCTGCGCAGCCTGCTGACTGTGCTACCGCAGGCAGCAGCAACATTTTGCACCAAAATGCCGCACCCGCGGTCTCTCACTTTCCAAGACCTCCTTAAAGTGCAGCAGCGCAGACACAACGCCAGCAGTAGCAGCAGCAGCAGTCACCACTCGCCGCAGCAGCAGCAGGGAGAGGCAAAGAGCGAGGGAGCCCCACCGGCTGCAACGGCGCAGCGAACGGAACAGCAGCAGCAGCAGCCCCAGCAGCAGCAGCACCACCATGAAGGCGCAGCAGAAGGCGGAGAAGATCTAGCCCACGAACTCCGCCGCAAAAAGAAGCGCAGGGAACCCTGCAGCAGCACGGGCACCAGCAAGGATGAAGGAGCAGCAGCAAGTGTGCTGCAGCAGCAGAATGAGCCCTTAGAGGAGCCCGTGGACGGCGAGTATCTGATCAATGTCCTGATGGTGCGTCGAGTCTGTGACTGCTGCTGCTTCTCTGCTGCTGCTGTTGCTGCTGCTGCCACTGTTGCGCTTCTGTTTTAGCATACTTTATGTGGACAGCAACAGCACAATGGCCTGTACCTTCTTGTGCTGACTCTTGCAGCAACTGACAGCCACTTCGCTCTTCCAGACTTCGCCGCGCCACATGGCTCATCTCCTTGCTGCGATACACTTGCTGGTAAGCGGTTCGGCGAGCAGCAGCAGCAGCAGCAGCAACAGCAGCAGCCGAAGCAGGCCACCAAGCAGATCGTCTGCGCCTGCTTCGAGCAGTCGAGCTCAGTCGACAGACAGCCAAGGCCAACCCAGCAGCAGCAGCAGCTCCAGCGCTGCAGCACCAGGCAGCAGCAGCAGCGCCAGCGCTGCGGTTCCAAGCAGCGGCAGCAGTACTGCTGCTGTGGCGCCGGGAAGCAGCAGCGGTAACTCGGCGGAGCCAGCTGTGGAGGAGATTGTCCCCGACAACGCACTCAGCAGCAGCAGCAGCAGCAGCAACAGCAGCAGCAGCAGCGCTCAGGAAAGCATGCAGGAGCGCATGCTTCGCGTGGTGACCCCTGAGGCCGTAGAGTGCATCTGCGGGCTGCTATGCTCTCCTCACGTTGCTGCTGCTTGGTCCCAGGTTGTGGGGTTCTCGGCACAGCAGCGGGAGGCGCAGCTGCAGCAGCTGGCAGTTGTGGCGAAGATCGTGGGGTGTCTGTACACCTCAGCGCAGCACCGCGGGTGGGTCGACGAGGCCCTGCGGCGCAACTGCGACGCCCTCAGCGATGTGCTGTCTCAGGAACTTGCTGCTTTATCCCGGACTTTGAACGAAGCAGCGCAGCAGCAGCAGCAGCTGCAGGTTCACGACGACCTCTGGGCCCGCAGAGAGGCTTTGGAGCCCCACTTTGCTGCCTTCTACAGGCTCTGCGGCACCCTCAACGAGGTGTACACTCACCTCCAGCAGCAGCAGCAGCAGCAGCTGCAGCAGCAGCAGGCTAAGTCGCCCGACGCTGCAGCGGGAAGCGCCACTGAAGAACCAGCCGGGGCCGCATCAGCTGCAGCTCCACAAGCAGCAGCAGTACCCGCAGTGGCAGGAGCAGCTGCAAACCAGGTCCCTCCTCCTGCTGCTTCCTTGAATGCAGACATCGACTTGTCAAGTGCACCTGAGGCGCCAGCGGCAGCAGCAGCACCTCCAGCTGCGGCAGCAGCAGGTGCAGCAGCAGCAGCAAATGCAGACGAAAGCAGCACAGCGGTAGTCCCCGCGCTTGTTCGGTTCAGGGCTTTCTTTGACGCCTCCAAAGTCCACAAGATTTGGGAGGGTTTAGAAGATGTTCTCTCAGCTGTGGGGGCTGCTTACCCGGCCCTGAGTGCAGAGGCGGCAGCAACGCAGCATAGACACCGCACGCAGCAGGCAGCAGCAGCAGCAGCAGCAGCAGAAGCAACGGCAGCTAGCGCCGCGGCAGCAGCAGGCAGTGCCGGCGCAGCCTCTGGAGCAGCTACGGCAAGACCGGCAGGGACAGACGCTGCAGCAGGAGAGGCGCGGGCTAGGGAAGCTGCCGGCGGGGAAGCTGCTGCTGACGGCGCAGCAGCAGCAGCAGCAGCAGAAGACGGCGAAGGGGCTGTGGTGGAGGAGCGCGAAGCAGCAGCAGCAGGCTCACGCGAGCTTGCAGCGCCGCTGGTGCTGGCGCAGCTGCTGCCACTATTTGAAGCCTTCCTGCAAGTGCAGCAGCTGTCAATAGCAGCAGACTTGGGTTTGAAGGATGTCTCAATGCTGCAGGAGCTGGATCTGTTTGCTGCTGCGGCGGAGCGGGAGCGCAGCATCGCGGACCGCGCTGCTGCAGCAGTTGCTGCTGCAGTGGACCCCCGCACGGGCATCCCAGATGCAGCAGCAGCACAGGCAGCTTGCTGCAGAGCCAGCGAGGAGCTGCTGCAGTGCGAAAAGCAAGAAGAAGACGGAGGGGGCTTCGGAGTCAGCAGCCGCAGACACTTGGCTCTTTGCTGCTTCTGCGAGCGGCATGTTCTTTGCTTCAACGCGCTGCTGAAGCAAAACCCGAGTCTGCTGTCGGGCCCCTTCTCTCCTTTGCTGCGGCTGACTCCCATGATGCTTTCTTTCGAAAACAAAAGACATTATTTCCGACAAAAGATCAAAGAGATCAGACACGCAAGCAGGGCAGACCACGTGCGCCTCTCCGTCAGAAGGCAGCATGTCTTCACGGACTCTTACCACCAAATCCGGATTCGTTCAGGTCAGCAGCACGCGCCCATTTGCTGCAGCGGCAC